AGAGTACAGTGGCACGATCATAGCTCACTGCGACCTCAAACTCCCTGGCTCAGGTGACCGTTCCACCTCAGCCTCCTGAGCAGCTGGGACCACAGGTGCGCACCACCGTGCCCAGCTAATTTTTGTATTTTTTGTGGAGACAGTCTGGCCATGTTGTCTAGGCTTGTCTTGAACTCAAGTTATCCACCTACCTCAGCCTCCCCAAGTGCTGGAATTACAAGCATGAGCCATCATGCCCAGCCCCTGTAGTTGTTCTACAAAACTCACCACTGCATACCAAAGTGGTGGCTCAGGGGTTGTTGCCTGCTGGTCACCAGGACCCCATCTGGAGGCTGAGACCTGACCAAAGCCCAGGTGTCTGTGGCTTGAGGATAAGTGTGTCCTGTGGTCACAAGGCCAGGCCACTTGTGCCTACTCAGAGGGTCTTCACCCCAGGGTCTCCCCTTTTCTGGTTCCCTCCAGTTTAGTCCCATCAAGGCCCTTGAGCATGTGACACAGCATCCAAGCGCCATTCCAGGAAGCCTGGCAGCTCAGCTAATGCCATCATTTCTCATTTACAGCAAAAACATCAAGACATCAGATGCACAGATAAATGGCTAAAAATGCTTAAGAATGGAAATAAATATAGGACCAGCAAGAAGACGAAGTGGAGAGTGAGGGTCCCCTGTGAACATCTCTACAGAGCGAGGGTGACAGAGCCCATTGTTATTTCCTGGCACCTTCTACGTCTGAGACAGCAGTCAGCACACTGTCCTTACCCACAGGGCAACAGACCTGGTCCCCAGCTTTTCTGCCCATCCCTAAAAGGGTCATCTTGCTTGGAGAGAATCTGACGACAGGGCCTGGGCCACCTTTAAGTCAGGGATGGGGATACTTTCTGGTGACCCTAAAGGAAGGAGGAAGTCCACATCAGAGTTGAGAACCCTGAGCATTCATCTACTCTTTAATCAAGGGAGATGAGCCCCAGTCCTGGGTACAAACAACCTCTCCCACAGAACCACAAAATCAAAGGCTAGAATATTCCAGAATCCTCAGGCTCTAATCCTTCCTGGGCTTGATCTGACGCCTGACTTACCAGAGCATGATTCTTTCCATAGACGTCTCAGCGGGTCTAAAAGGGAATCCTCCTGCAGATGCAGGGTCAGATGTGGTCACTCCTGCTGAACATTGAGAAGGTGAAGACCAAGAATTCAGGAAAAATAGCAGGTACATCCCTGCCACACCTGGCCAGAGCAGGACAAACAGGCCAGGCCATGGCAGGAGCCCAGGTCTAGAGCTGGAGAAAAAGTCAATCCTTAGGGGTGGTCAGTCACAAATCCTATTCACAGAGGGCAATGTGGGCACCACAGGTCAGCTGGGCCCTAGGGACCCTCCATGGCTTTGGAAGAAAACAAGGAGATTTCTGCAAAATAAACAAAGAAAAGGCCATGCGAGGTGGCTAAAGCCTGTAATTCCAGCATTTTGGGAGGCCAAGGTGAGAGAATCGCTAGAGCCCAGGAGTTCAAGACCAGCCTAGGCAACATAGGGAGACTCCATCTCCATAAAAAATTTAAAAATAAAAAAAAAATTAGCCAGGTGTGGTGGCTGACACTTGTGGTTCTGGCTACTTGGGAGGCCGAAGTAGGAGGATTGCTTAAGCCTGGAAGGTCAAGGCTACAGCGAGTCATGATTGTGACACTGCACTCCAACCTGGATTGCAGGCGTGAGCCACTGCACCCGACCAGTTTGCCAGTTTCTTACAAACCTAAATACACATTTACATATGATCCAGTAATCATCTTCTTTGGCCTGTACCCAAAAGAGGTGAAAACTTACCTCTCTACAAAAATCTGCACATTAATGTTTAGAGCACCTTTAGTCATAATTGCCAAAACATGGAATCAAGCACGATGTGCTTCAGTAGCTGAATGGAAAAACAAAATGTGGCATAACCATACAAGGGAATATTATGTACTGCTAAGAAGTAATGAGCTATCAAGCCTTGAAAAAACATGAGAAAATCTCAAATGCATATTGCTAACTGAAAAGAGCCCATTTAAAAGGGATACATACCATCAGATTTCAATACGACATTCTGTATATAGTTGTAAAAGGCAGAAGTAGATAGACAGAAAAGAAAAAATCTGTGGCTTCCCGAAGTTTGAGTGGAAGAAGGAAGGGATGAATAATGGGGCTCATGGGGACATTTTAAGACAATAAAACTATTCTGTATAACGCAGTGACTATGGATACATGTCATGTCATTATGCATTTGTCAAAATCCATAGAATGTAAAACAGGAAACATGAACCATAAATGCAAACTATGGATTTTAGTTAATAATAACTTTTCTATATTAATTCATCAACCATAACAAATGTACCACACTAATGCAAGATTCTGATAATAGGGGAGAAGCTGGGGTAGGGGTGGGGACATATGGGAACTCTGTACTTTACACTCAATTTTATGTATACCTAAAACTTATCTAAAAATAAAAGTATACACATTTTTAAAATTCCAATGAAGGTCATCAAAAGTAGAATAGATTTAAAAATTATAGTATATTTGTATAATTGAATACAGTACTATGTAGCAATTACAATGAATAAACTCAGATGTTAAATGTCATCTCCATGGTGGCAACCACACCAAAGAAAAATAAATACCTATAGAATATACATAAAGGGAAATAAAAATAAAATTAAAATATTTTCCCAAAAAAAAAATCAACTAAACTCAAAAGACAACAGTAATGTACAAAAAATAAAACACAAAGCTATAAGGTATATAATATGAAAACAAATAGCAAAATGACAGAAGCGCCTACTTATGAGTAATTATTCTAAATGTAAATGGATTAAACTATCCTATCAAAAGGCAAAGACTAGCAAAACAGACTAAAAACATGATTCAACTATGTTTTTACAAGACACATTAAATTGAAAGACATGAATAGAATAAAAGTGAAAGGAAGAAAACAAACATTTCATGCAAAAAGTACACAAAAAAATCGGAATGGCAACTTAATACTATGCAAAATAGACTTCCTTTTTTTTCTTTATTTCTTCTTTAAAAACAAAAACGGACACGTGTGCAGAGCATGCCAGTTTGTTACGTAGGTATACGTGTGCCGTGGTGCTTTGCTACACCTATTGCCCCATCCTCTCAGTTCCCTCCCCTCACTTCAAAATGGACTTTCAACCAAATAATGTTAAGAGATAAGAAAGGCACTGTATATTCATAAAAGGTTTAATTAGCAAGAAGATATAAATATTATAAACATTTATGTACCTAATAACAGACCATTAAAATATATGAAGCAAAAATTAACCAAGTTGAAGGGAGAAATTGACAGTTCTAAAATAACACTTGAGGCCATTAATACTCTACTGTCAGTAATAAATAGAATCACCAGACAGAAGTTAAGTTAGAAAATAGAGGACTTGAACACCATAATAAGCCAATTAGATCTGACAGATATATACAGAATGCTCAACAATAAGAGAATACGCACTCTTCTCAACTGAACATGGGCATTCTCCACAGACTATATGTTAGGTCACAAATTAAATCCATAGTGAAAACTAAACTAAAAAATTCACAAACTTGGAAAACTAAAATCTAATAAAACTCTTTTTATAAGAGACAACATCTTGCTGTGTCATCCAGGCTGGGGTGCAGTGGTGCAATCTAGCTCACTGCAACCTTGAACTCCTGGACTTAACTGACCCCCTTGCCTTACCCTCCGTAGCAGCTGAGACTACAGGTGTAATAGGATTACAGGTGTGAGCCACTATGCCCAGATAACTTTATTTTTTTCCTAGATGTGGCATCTCACTATATTGCCCAAGCTGCAGTGATTGTTTTAATGAGGGGCAAAAATCCGTGAGGTAGGATCTTGCTATGTTGCCCAGGCTGGTCTCAAACTCCTGGGCTCAACTGATCTTTGCACCTCAGCCTCCCAAAGTGCTGGGATTATAGGTGTGAACCATATGTCCAACCAAATAACACTCTCTTAAACAATAAATAATAATAAAAAAGAAACCACGAAAGAAATAAGAAAATATCTAGAAAGGAAGAAACATGAAAACACTACATACCAAAAGTTATGAGATACAGCAAAAGCACTGCCAAGATGGGAAGTTTATAGCTATGGTCGGGTGCAGTGGCTCATGCCTGTAATCTCAGCACTTTGGGAGGCCAAGGTGGGTGGATCACGAGGTCATGAGATCAAGACCATCTGGGCCAACATGGTGAAACCCCATCTCTACCAAAAATACAAACATTATCTAGGCATGGCGGCACATGCCTATAGTCCCAGCTACTTGGGAGGCTGAGGCAGGAGAATCACTTGAACCCAGGAGGTAGAGGTTGCAGTGAGCCAAGATCGTGCCATTGCAATCCAGCCTGGTGGACTGAGCTAGACTCAGGCTCAAAAAAATTTTATACCTATAAACACATTAAAAAGAAGAAAGACCTCAAATCTGTAACCTAACTTTACAATCTTCTCTTCTGAGACCACTAAACACACACACACACACACACACACACACACACACACACAAATACAACCTAAAGAATTAGGAAAAAAAACTAGACACAAAGCAAGAAAAAAATAAGGTAATAAAGATTATAGCAGATATAAATAAAAGAAACTAGAAAAAAAATGAGAAAACCAACAAAACCAAAAGTTAGTTCTTATGTCTTCAAAAATGCTCGTAAACTTGACAAACCTTTAGCTACACTAAGAAAAAAATGACAAAATATTCAAAATGGGAAATGAAGGTGGGACATTATACCAATCCTACAGAAATAAAATATTTTAAAGAATATACTGTGAACAACTGTATGACAACTGGACAGCCTAGATAAAACATACATATTCCTAGGTTTAGAAAACCTAAAAAAAAAAAATCTCAGTGGATCCATAACTAGTCAGGGAATAGATCAGTAATCAAAAAGCTCCTGACAAAGAAAATCCCTTGACCCTGTCCTTTCTTCACTTCAGTCTCAGGACATCACACGGCCCCCTGCTCTCTGGCTACGTCAGCTCCTCCCTGCCACTCACAGCCTGGCTGGCCTCTCCCAGCCCCGCGCTGGATCACACATTCGGAGGACCCCGGGCGTCTGTCCCCAACTAGAGCCCGTGCTGCTGTGTGCAGCTGCCTGGTTGGTCCTCCCATGTGTCCAAGCCTGAGCTCCTGGTGGCCATGTGATCTCTTCTTGCGGTCACTCCTGGGCAATGGGACCTTCATGAGACCAAAACACAAAACTAAGCACAGCTGAGGCCATTCCTGACTCCTTCCTTGCTGTCACCACCAACCACACACAGCTCAACAACAAACATAGTCGGCTTCTCTCCTCCCACCACTGCCACCCTGTCCCCCCAGCCCCACTGCATTCCTGGTGTTGCCCATGCTCCCTTCCCCCTGTTCTTGGTCTACAGCAGACGGAGCTAAAATAAGAGGCCCAGTCACCCCTCATTCAGAGCCCTCCAGACTCCCACTCACTCAAAAAATGCCCCCGTGCACGCTGCCACCTGTTAGGAATCCCATCCACTGCCCGCTGTCCCATCTTGCCCTGATGGCTGCCTCCCCCTGCCGCTCCTCACCCACTACCCCGGCTGCCCCGTCTCAGGCCCACTCAGGTGCTGCTGCAGCCTGGGGCTCCTCTGCAGACTCAGCCGGCCACCCAGGCCCCTCCTCACACGCACTTCCCAGGCCTCCCACCCAGACGGCAAGGCCACTCCGCCCTGCTTCTCCTTAGCTCTCACCATCTCACACACCGCACGCTTTATCATCTAGCTTCTTACAGTCTTTCTTCCACCACTGGAACGTAAGCTTCATAAGGGGAAGGGATTTTGTCTGTCACTGCTGTACCCCAAGCACCTAACAGTGCCTGGCACACCCTGGATGTTCATAGAGATGAATGAAAGACCAGTTACTTGATTAAAAGGGTCATGTGTGTGCGACTGTCAGCCAAACTCCCTGGTCTGTTTTAACAGAGATGATCTGCCTGCTGTGGTAAACCTCCTCTGTAGAAATTAGAGAAATGAGTCTACAAAGCACCTGTTTATAACAATGCTTGAGAAATCTTTTTAGTTGGGATAAAATAGGTATCAGATAAAACTCACCGTCTTCAGCACGTTCTGGTGCACGCGTCAGGGGCGTTAAGGCTATCTGCGGTATAGTGCAACCATTGCCCTCCGTCCAGCTCCAGGACGCTTTCCAGCTCACAAGAGGGCAACTGTCCACATTCAGAGTCACTCCCCACTGCCCCCCAGCGCCTGGCAGCCCCCATCCTACTTTCTGACTCTGAATTTGAATGCTCAGATACTTAACCTCCCACTGGCCTGACACAACCCTCCGGCCTCCCCACCTACCGTGAGCTTGTCCTGCTTCTCCACCTCCAGGCTGCTCTCGATGGCTTCTGCTCTCTTCCAGGCATCCAGTCGGAATCTTTCCATCACTTTTATTTCTTCCGGGAGGCCAGTGGTCTCTCTGAGTAACATTTCTATCTGGCTTCGGAGACTGCTGTGTGTACTTGACCATTCCGTTTCCTTTCTTTTCAGTTCTTCCTGTAAGTGTTTTAAAGCCTCTCAAAAAAGAAACAAACTTTACTACAGAATAGCCAGCCAGAAAGGGAAGGCTTAGTCAATAGACATTTTAAGGCCACTGCAGTTTTCAGCTGGGGGAGGAGGGAATCTGAGTCTCATCACAGATCATCAGCAAAACTAATTCCAGAAGCCAAGGGAAAAGGAGGCAGACAGCACATGGGAGCTGACAGCAGAAACCTGCCATGAGGCAGGAAAGACCTCACCTGAGCTATTAACTGAAAGAGAAAGAAAGGGACCCCCAGGGGAGATCCAGAAAAGAAGAAATGTGACAAGAACTCATGAATAATTGAAAGAGTAGAGCTAAAGAATAAAAGATTCCAAAGTCAAAATTACCCGCCCTGAAAACTACCTGAAATTCATGAGAAGAAATAAGTTTTGAGAAAATGGGCTGTTTTAGATAGACTAAAATACCGGAAGGAACAGCTGGAAACCCGTTGTTCCAGAAAGCAGTGCTCTCAAAATGCCAAGGGCAGCATTAAATGGCAAGAGAGCTGTGGACTTGAAGGGGCTCCCCTACTGGTCAAGTTGGGACCAGTTAAATGTCAAAATGGAAATTTTATACTTAATTAGAGTAACCTGAGTTTGTGAAAAGCCATAACTCAACAATGATGAATGTAAATTCCAGGAGGGCAGAAATGGCAACTCATCATCAATTCCTCAATGATTACAAGTGTCTAGTACATAAGGGGTTCTCAATAAATTTTATGAATAAATAAATACCCAAAATAAAAATTAATACTTTTTAACATAACCGTTACATAAAGGAAGGTTAAGTATGCCCTCTCCTTCATTTTTTGATGATTTAAAAAGTATCAATAAACACAGGTTTGTCTCCTAGTAAGTATATATCTGTTTTTAAAGTATATTTTTACACAGAAGTAGAAAGAAAGGTAAATACAGAGAACAATGTGTAAGCCAAATAGTGTAAGGAAGAAAAGGAACTGCACCAAAACCAGCAAGAAATAATGAATACCCAGCATCACACATGATAACCAAGTATGAACAGGGCCCAAAACTTCAATCAACACCAGAAGTCATGTAAACGAACAAAGGCGAGAGTTCAAGAATGAGTTCCTGAAGACAGAGGGCAACTCACCAGCCCAGCCCGTCCCCACCCAACAGGCCCCTGGAGGGGCACAGCCCAGAGCTGCCAGCAGTGAGGATGTGCCCAGTCCTGCATGGTGCACTGTGGCAGCCACCAGCCAGCCACACGTGGCTATTAAGTCCTGGAAATGTAGCTAATGGGAATGAGAAACTGATTTTTCCATTTACCTGTAACTAATTTAAATGTAAATAGTATAAGTAGCCACAAGGGGCTAAGAGCTAGCAGCCTGGACTGCACAGTCTGACAATCAGAGGACACATCGTGTGAGGGAAAGGCAACAGTTTGCAAGAAAAGAAAACCCACGTTATTCACCTAACAAAGTACAACAACAAAAAGAAGTGTGTTTGCTGTGGCTTGAATCACCTTGGAAGAGGTGGTCAGGATCAGAGCTATGAGAAAGAGGAGAAGAGAGGAGAAAAAAAAAAAAAACAATAAATCTCATAACCTTGGGTGGTCTAAGGAGGTTATTTATTGTTTCCCTTTGGATCTGGTGAGCTTTCCATAACAGCAAGGTTATCAAAATATCTCTTATCCTAAGAGATCCAGAAACAATAAAAATGAAATGACAAACACATCACGTATATTAGAATAGGCTACGGTTTTAAATTTGGTGACATTTTCTAGTAGCAGAATTTGTTATAACTACTGTGTAAAGTGTTTGGCTTGTTCACCAAAAAAAGCCATACCAAATTTGTAACTATAATTCAGATTGTTTAAAATAAATTCAATTAAGGTTCATACCAATGTTTAATCTCTTAAATAAACATCTCTTAATATCGGGTAAAGAGCAAAAAACACTCTAAGAACTGCCAGTAGAACTAAAAACTAATTAGCCAGGAATGGTGGTGGGTGCCTCTAATCCCAGCCACTCGGGAGGCTGAGGCAGGAGACTCGCTTGAACCTGGGAGGTGGAGGTTGCAGTGAACTGAGATCGAGCCCTTGCACAGTGATGAAGTGAGACTGTCTCAAAAAAAAAAACTGAACATTGATATGTATCAATGTACATATCTCTTAACCTCAAAATTTCATTTGTAGGAATCCATCCTACAGATGGACATACTCCAGGAAACAAGCTGCATGAGGACAGGGATTGATCTGTTTTGTTCACTACCAGATTCCTAGCACATGCCTGCTACATAGCAGCTATTCAGTAGCCACGTGCTGAATGAATAAGTAGGAGAATGATTGTGAGAGGTCATATACACACAAAGTTATTCAGTGCAGCCCTTCTTGTATTCTCATAAATAGAAAAAGAACAGAAATACATAGGTGCTTAGGTAAGTATATTATGGCACATATTCTATACAATAATAAAACAAAGAATAAAGATGTTTTGTTAAGATACGTAATGATTTTAGTAGACTATCACTAACGTTTAAAAAAAACACCATGGATATATATATTTATGTACTTGCTAAGAATTTCTCTGGAAAGATATGAGATTAATAACACCAGCTACCTCAAGAGAGGTAAATTAGAATGCAAACAAATCAACTGTAAAAAGATACCCTGAGTGATCAGAAAATTGAAATATGGACTAAGTATTAGTTGATATTAAGGAATTACTTTTTGTTATATGTGACAAAGGTATTATTATTATTATTATTATTATTATTTTGGACAGAGTCTCACTCTGTCACTGGGGTTGTCGTGCAGAGGCGTAATCTTGGCTCACTGTGATCTTTGCCTCCCAGGTTCAAGCATTTCTCCTACCTCAACCTCCCAAGTAGCTGGGACTAAAGGCATGCGCCACCACATCCGGCTAATTTTTTTGTATTTAGTAGAGACGGGGATTTGCCATGTTGGCCAGGCGGGTCTCAAACTCCTGACCTCAAGCAATCTGCCTGCCTCAGCTTCTCAACGTGCTGGGATTACAGGCGTAAACCACTGTGCCCAGCTGATAATCTTATTTTTTAAAGGTGTCTTTCGCAGAGAAACATACTAGACTACAGGTGAAACGAGAAGATGTCTGGGATCTTACTTTTTAAATTCCAGATTAAAAAGGGAAAAAAAAGTAGAGGGACCAGAGAGATGAAATTAGAAAGACAAAATGATCACCGGTGAAATATGGGAATTCATTCTATTATTCTTGCTACTTTCATGTACTTTTGAAATGTTCTATAATAATAAACTATTTTTTAAAAAACTGAATAGGTGGCTACGGCAAGGGTGAGGGAGAAATTTCCCACACATCTTTTTGTACCTTTGGAATGATGATATATTTATATTACCTTTTGAAATAAAAGATTTAATATTGTCAAAGTCTAACATATTGGATTTAATAAACTAAGCATTAACCAAAACATAATGGTACGTTTCTTCCCACAAAAAGAAAGAAAGAATTAAAGACCCTGAGCACCATGCTATTCAGCAACTCAAGCTGGAGGTGTGCAGGTGAGATTGCTCAAGGATGGCTACATGAGATGGGAAGAAAGCAAAGACTGGAACTCAAAACTGCTAGTAATTAAAATACAGACAGTGGAAGGTGAGTTTGCATTTTATGCTAGAAGCAATGGATAGCCATTTTAAATTTCTCTTTTGGTAAGTTTTAACTTTGATGAAGTCCCATATATGCATGTTTTCTTTTATAGTTAGTTGTATCTTCTCTTAGAAATCTTTGCATATGACAATGTCATAAACAATTTCATCTTTTTTTGTTAGAAGGCTTATAGTTTTAGCAAGAACTGCATGAGTTCTTTTTTAACTGCCATATCCTTCTGATCATGTCCATTTCTAACTATGAAATGAACAGGACTGATAATCTGGCCTATCAGTTTCTGAGTTTTGGAATTAAACACCCGGTTATTTATGGCTGTAAGTTATGATAAATCAACAGAACTAACAGTATTTGGTGTGTGGCAGGTCAAAAAGATTAACACAACATTACACTGGTGAATTTCCAACTCCTGGCTAAAACAGAGTGAGCAAAGGATGGGTAGCAGGAGAAGGTGTCAAAGAGGGAGGAGGCCTGGATCAGACAAACTGTCCCAACCAGGCCGACTCTGGATGTGTGTGAAGAGCACAGACATGGGCAGCAGAGAGACCTGCTGGGAAGATTTTAATAACCAGGGAAAGCCAAGGGGCCCTGGCTGAGAGTGGCAGCTCTGAGACAGTGAAGCTGTCGGGTTAGAAATGAACTGAGAGAGCAAGAGAAGACTCAAGCACGACTCCAGGATTTTCTGCTGGGCAAATGGAAGAGCAGACTTATCACGTGCTGAGACAGGGAAGAAGAGGAGAAGAGTATATTCAAAAGGGGATGTCAGGAACTCACTTTTTCTAAATGATCAGTTTAGACAGTGATCAGCTCTCCAGGTAGAGAGAACAACGAGACAGTGGGATAGGAGACGTGGGCGAGAGGTCTGGACCTGGGACATGACAGCACTGAAAGCCTCCAGACTGGACGAGTTTCTCCCTGCCTCACCGGAGGGAGAGGAGACAGAAGAGGTAAAAGATATTACTACTGGCTAAATATTCAAAATGTCTGCAGGGTGCACACAATCATACAGTCAAAGCAAAAACTGGGGGAGACACTTGTGGCACATTTGAGAAAATTTAATACCCTGAAAAATGAGCAAAGGCCACAAAGAAATTTACAAAATAAACACAAATGACCACTAAATATAAAAACATGCTCAACTTTATCAATAATTAAAGAAATGCAAACTTTAGCAACTGAAAGGCGGCATAATAACCAGCTTGGCAAGATCTGAAAGACTGCTAACGCTCAACTCCAGTCATGGGGAAGGGGGTGAGAAGAAGCCCCAGATGCTGACTGGGGCAATGGAAGTTTCTAAAATGTATCACAAGGAAGTCGTGTTTTAAATAAAAAGTGGCTTATATATATGATGATATTTCCTGCATAACAATCTATAATAATGAAAATTTCTAAACAAGCTAAATTCCCATCAATAGATTGATTAGCCACAGTAGCATTCATACAATACGGTCATTTCAAGTATGCAGAAGACTAGGGTGTGCTAATAGGGTAAGATGTCTATTATGTTGTTAAAATAAAAAGCAGGCTGGACGTGGTGGCTCACGCCTGTAATCCCAGCACTTTGGGAGGCCAAGGCCGGGGGATTGCTTGGGCCCAGGAGTTTGAGACCACCCTGGGCAACATGGCAAAACCCCATCTCTACCAAAAATACAAAAATTAGCTGGGTATGGTGGCGCACGCCCGTAATCCCAGCTACTCAGGAGGCTGAGGTGGAGGATGATTTGGGCCAGGAACTCAGAGGTTGTAGTGAGCCAAGATCACACCATTGCACTCCAGCCTGGGTGACAAAGCCAAACCCCGTCTCAAAAAAATAAAATAAAAAACAGATTAAAGAGCCCATACAGTATAGCCCAGGGCTGAGAACCACCTGCCTAGGCTGGCACTGTGGCTCTCTTTGACTTACTAAGGGGGTAAATAAAAAGGTTTCTTGTCAGCGCATCACTTTCCTCATCTGTAAGGTGGGAAGGATAACACAAGGTCTAAATTTGAGGACTGAATTTTGCTTAGAACAAAGCAAAACTGACATATGGAAAATGCTTAAAAGAAAAAGATGTCCATTTTGAAATAATGAAGTATAGACATTTTAAAAGTGATCTTGGGTGGAAAAAGAATTGGAACAGCTCCACGTTTTACCCAGAACTACTATAGTAAGCATATATTTATAGTATATATCAGCAGAAAAACAAAGATATTTCCATTTAAAAAATAATTTTCAGGATTTGATTTTTAAGCATAGCTCAGAATAAAATATAGTGACTGAATTTTCTTTTTAAGTGGATTGATAGGCGTCTATAAACCTTTATCTGGAATTTATGAGCCAGGTGTGCTTTAGAACCCATATTTTTCAAGTTTTAGAAAAGAAATAGAAAAGCGATGTCAAGAAAGATGGTGGAGTAGGAAGCTCCAAGCATCCGTCCCTCCACCAAAGCAGCTATTGAACTATCAGCACCTGTCAGAATCAACCATTTGGGAACTCTGGAGACTAATGAAAGACCTGCAGTGTCCTGGGGAGTCTAAAAGAAGAAGGAGGCTGGGAAATCTGGGAGAATTTCAGCATTTGCATAGCAGCCACCATCCCCTAGATCCAATCCCACAGCAGACAGCCATGGGAACTACAGTTGTATGAATTTCTCCTCAAGCATTAAAATAACAAATACCCAAAAACAAAGAAATACAGTGTGGGTACAATATATAATATCCCCAGCAAGACCCACAGCAACACTTGGAATCAAAAGTATTAGTGTTTCTGCAACAGAACTTAGGACTATTCGCAAGTACAATTAAAAAACTATGTCTACATAAAACATATATATATATAAATAATAAATATAGTATATACAAATAGCCTCATGTACGTTCAGTTCAAGTTTTGCTAACCATAAAGTCAGATAAGATCATGACCTAGGGTAGGGAACAGTATGTCATACTGTCAACTGCTGTGGGTGGAGCTGTGTCCTCTAAAACAGTACATTGAAGTCCCAGTCCCTGTGAATGTGACCTTATTGGAAATAGGGCCTTTGAAGATATAATTAAGATGCCAGTCAAGGTGAGGTTATAGAGGAGTAGGGTGGGCCCTTGATCCAATGTGACCCTATCTTTTAAAGAGGCACTGAGACACATACACGGAGGAGAATGCCATGTGAAGACACAGACAGAGGGAAGACGGCCATGTGACCACAGAGGCAGAGACTGGAATGATGTCGCTGTAATCCAAAAAATACCCAAGGAGTGCCTGAAACCACCAGAAGCTGGAGGAGCCAGCATGGCCCATCTTGCTGATGCCTGGACTTTGGACTTACAGCCTAAGGAACCACAAGAAAAGACATTGGTACTGTTTTAAACCACCTAGTTGGTGGTACTTTGTTACAGCATCCCAGAGAAACCAATACACTAACTAACCAAAGTTCCATTGAATCCATAGCTCCTAACATTTTTTCAAATTTCAATTTATGTCTCTCCACTAAGAAAATTCCCCTTTTGACACATCATTGACTACATTGGGTCATTTTATTCAGTAAAAAAAATCTTATGTGATACAGATTTCACCTCCTTTTCAGTTATATTTGCTGGATTAAAATGTTTCAGATTGCTTATAGATGGTTTTAAAGATAAAACTGAATCACTGCATATTTTTTCCTAACTTACAGACCCAAACATGCATGAGATTTTCCAAGGCACTTTCTCGTTCAATGCGAAGTTTAGCTAGAGATGTGTTCTCAGCTTTAAACTTTCCTGTTTCTGTTTCCAATTCAGTAATTTTCTCTCTCAAAACCTGGGATCGAGCATTGTCACCTATAAAATAGGCCATAAATACTGAACTTCGCAAAAGGGCTTACAGCAGCAAAACATTAGCTAGCTAGTAAACACTGAGCCAAGAATATGGCAAACATCTGTGACATTAAAATGCATTAGAAACAATGCTTCAAATATGAAAAGGAAGAAAAATTAAACCTAACTTTCCTGAGGAAACCAGTGCAAATTTATGAAAGAATGAATCGATCTCAAAAAGAGTATCGACCTGACAAGGAATCAACATGATACATAAAAAGAAATCATTTAAATCCATTTTTTAAAAGATCCATACATAAAAATAGCTTAAGAACATGAATAAGTAATCCACAAGAGATCTAACAGGCTAATCAATGCCAAAATCAAAGTTTATCCCCTACTACTAATCAAATAAATGCAAGTTAAGACTTTTCCCTTCATCAGATTTGCTATTTAAAATGTAAAATAGCCAATGCTTCTGTCCTTCAGTGCAAACAGCATTTTTATCAATTAGTACTTTTTAAGAAAAGGAATGTGAGCCACAAGGCTAGAGGAATGAGGCAGGTTATACTTCTCTGTCATATTAAAAATGCATAGGAAAAATGACTAGAAGGAACATCCCAAAATGGCATAGCAGTCACTTTGGGGTAGTTATGTTGTAAATATTTTTGCTTCTATACTTTTTAAACTTCCAAACTTTCTGCAAAAAAAATATTACTTTTAAAATCAGAATTTTTGAAAAATCACTTTTCACAAGAGAGGGCTGTCAAGAGCTGGCTACTGCCCTCAAGCACAATCACAATGTGAAAATCTTGGACATTGGAGAAAATGATCTTAGGGATGATGGAGTAAAGCTGCCGTGTGAGGCTCTGAAACCTTCACATCATGCTTTGTACACACTTGGGCTGGCAAAATGCAATCTGACGACTGCTTGCTGCCCGCCTCTTGTCTCTGTTCTCCGCAGCAGTAAGACCCTGGTCAATCTGAACCTTCTAGGCAATGAGCTGGATCCCGATGGTGTCAAGATGCTATGTAAGGCCTTGAGGAAGTTGACATGCAGGCTACAGAAACTCGGGCTTCACAAAGACTTGCACAGAGTACTGAGAGAGGAGATACAGATGTCACAGAAGGAGCACTGTCTGAAGGTCAAGTGTACTTGGGATTTTAATGACCTTGAAGACAAGTGGTGGTGGTGATGCCACGGACCAGATGCCACAGGGCTTGACCACGGATCTTGGAGTAAAGCCACCAGGACCTCCTGGCCTGTGTGCCATTCCAGTGTCACCATCATGGGGACAAATGAGCTGTTCCCTGCAGGAGGCTTCAGTACAGTCATTGGAAGCGGCCCATTTCACACCCAGGTCTGGAATTTGTCTAATACTGTGTCTCGTCCCCAAGATCGTAAGTTGGCTGTGCCTTCAGTCTTACTTATGTCCTCCTAAGTATGTTTCTAATTCTTGGAGGTGTGGAGAGAATTGAATAAAGCAAAGGATATAAGAATTTTTAAAAAAATTATAATTTCTATTTTAAAGCACCTATGATCTCCAAGGTGGTCAGAGTTTATAATATAATGGAAAGAAATCTTTCAATGCTGGTTTTAAAAATCCATTAAATCAACTGAAATACTACACATCCATTAAATGGAATGAGGTAGATGGGTATATGCATTAGAACAATCTTCAAAATTTATCATAAGCAAGGTACAGGACAGTATGCAAAAAAGCATCTTTTCATTTGTATAGAAAGGTAATTATATACCAATTCACACATATGCTTTTATATGCATGGATTCTTTAGAATACACAAATGACATGGTAATGCTGGTACTTCTAGGAAGGGGGACTTGGACCAGGTCTTGGGGAAAAAAGAAACTTAGAAGCTTTGATGTTATCTCACTTTATTAAAAAGTAATTAATTTTAAAGCCTTGGAAAAGTCAAAATTAAGTTTAAGTTTGAAAAATCTGAAAGGACAGTTCATCTGAATCTCTTATACTAATGACTATTACATTATATGGACCCACAAAATAAATCAAATTTTTACAAATCACCTGCTAATTTGACTTCTATTGAGCAATAAGGAAAGTTAGGATTTTAAGCATTCTGACAGCATTGATAAATGTTAAATCTCTCACATTTGGATACATATTTTATAATGCTCTGACTCACCAGGTGGTTTGTCTTGACTTATGTTTAACTTGGGTTCACTTCCCAAGTGTGAATCTGACTTTGGTTTTGGTTTCAAGGAAGGAAAGAATTTCATCATCAGCTCCGATGTAGGAGGAGGACTTCTGCTCCTCCTAGATTTGCTCAAGTCTTCTCCCTTCATGACTGGTGCAATCTTCCTTCTTACTGTTTTGTCCAGGATGCCTACTTCGTTCTTAGGGTAGCATGTCTGCGGAGTCCCGTAACTAGATTCACTCCCAAGAAAAACGTCATGATTACACAAATTCTCCTCAAGGTCAGTCCAAGTTCTTTCATCATCAAAGTCCATTTTAGTCATACTTAGGGATGAGGATCCTGAGGGCTCAGACACTTGATGTTTTATGCTTTCTGTGATAGACTCATCGCTACTGTAATCTTTATCAGACAAATCCAGATCAACATCTCTCCTTTTATCTTCTTGAGTCCCGGTGTCCCTAAAAGGTCCCTTACCGTCACAGACTTGTGGGCTATCCTCTCTGCTGCTGAAGTCCCTTTCTCTATCCTCACTCGATGGTTTTATGGTAACATCAAGCTGTTCCTCAGAGTCAGTGCAACTGTCACTGCTCATAACACCTTCACCGTCACCTGCAATCCATTGAGTTTGATTTTCAGAAGTGCTCTTTTGGAAGGCTTTCCTACTGATTTTACAAGGCTGTTCCCTCAATTCATCAGCTGAGGACGATGAACGGTTTTGTTTGGGTGTGACCTCACACTCACTCTCCTTCTCACGTGCAGCGTGGTCCAAATCCTTACTTCGGTTACACTGACCAACGGGACCTGCCGGATTTCTCTTCTGCAGCACAGCTTTGACAAGGGTGGAAGACATCTGGCGACCTTTGTGGATCTGTTGATCCCTTTCTAAGATTTTCAGTACAAATAAGGAATTACTAGAAAATGATATTTCACCAGCAGCTTGTTCTAAAAACAAAAAACCATCCAACTCCAAATATTCCTTTTCCTTTTCTCGTTCCCAAGTCTCTAACGTTTTCTGAAGAGAAACGTCAAGAGAAGATTCCGAGTCTTTCACGGTCTCCCTGACATAGCTCTTAGAAGCGAGGCGGCTGGCTGGCCCTGTTAAAAGAGGACGTCTGTCTTTATCTGGTGTCTTATTCCACCTGTACAGCCAGTATCGCAAGGTTTTGGACACTGGGGTATATTTTCTTTATTATTAGATTTAACTTTTTTTCAGATTTGATCTGGTTTCTAAACTGCTCATCACATTTCTTCCCTGTCTGTATTTTCAATCGTGACAGAGAGAGACTTTTCCTGTTATTACACTTCAGCACTTTTGGCTTCTGGCTGATGTTAACAGAACCCCTCTTGGTGCTAGCTTTGTTGTCCTTTTTAAGGGTAAGTTTCTCTGCACACGGTTCTTTATTTATGAGAGCAGTTTTCCACTGGAGTTGCTGTCTATCCTTTTTTTTTTTGTTTTTGAGATGGAGTCTCACTCTATTGTCCAGGCTGGAGTGCACTGGCGCAGTCTCTGCTAACCGCAACCTCCGACGCCCGGGTTCAATTTATTGTCCTGCCTCAGCCTCCAGAGGAACTGGGATTACAGGCACGTGCCACCACGCCTAGCTAATTTTTGTATTTTTAGTAGAGATGGGGTTTCACCATGTTGGCCAGGCTGGTCTCGAACTCCTGATCTTGTGATCCACCTGCCTCAGCCTCCCAAAGTGCTGGTATTACAGGCGTGAGCCACTGCGCCTGGCCTGCTGTCTATCCATTTTAAATAGAGGCTGATCCTCAGAAGTGCTCTGGTCAGTCACTAGTTTACTTCCTTTGCCTTTTTGAAACTTAGATTCAGCATTAGTAAATCTGGCTAAACCTTCTCCTTGTTTTAAAAATGGTTGTTTTGGTTTTGCTT